TTTTGGGAGGCTGGCTGTACTCCCTCCCTACAGCCCCCTTCTCCATCTTCAAAATGCACCCCTGTAACCTCTGCATCCAACGTCACACGGCCTTCCCTGCTGTACTCAAATGCCCCTCAGCCTCCCTTGTTAAGGATACTTGTGATGATATTTACAGCCCATCTGGATAATCAAGGACAATCTCCCCATCTCCACATCCTTACCTACACCTGCAAAGTCCCTTTTGTCATAGAAGGTAACATGCCTGGGTTCCAGGGATTGGGCCATGGACATCTTTGAGGTGGGCATTATTTGGCCTGCACAGCTTCTTACAGCAGGTGGCTCTGTGGTGGCAGGTGAGAAGAGTGATGGTGTTCCTGGGCGAGGGCCTTGGTGGGGGTGGCAAGGGCAGGGAGGGGGAAGCCTGGCATAGTCAGGGAAGGCCCAATGAGCAGGAAAGTCAGGCAAGGGCCAGATCTCATAGGACCTTGAAAGCTCAGCTTAGTCCTGAAAGAAGTGGGTCTTGTCTGAAATCTAAACATCGAGTGAAGGCTGTTGTCTCAGCCAGGGCCCCAGCAGGACACAGATGGCATGCTTAGACAGGTAACTGAAGTGTGGCACTGTCTGCAAAAGGGTGGGCGGGGTTAGAGAAGCTAACAGGGCATGGAGCATGCCTGGGGCTGACACAGCTGTGAGGTGCTACTGCCTCTTTGGGGAGCTGTGTCCGCCCCAAAAGGCCTGAAGAGAGGAGGCCAGGGATCAGCTGTCAGACCCAGAGAGGGTGGCTGTGTGGAGAGGGCACATAGGAGTCTGCAGGAAAGGGACGAAGCCCACCAGTGGGAACCTGGCAGGGAAAGAGTGGGGGTAACTGATGCCCAAGGCCATTCTTCCTGCCCTCTGAGGGCCTGCCCATGCTCCCATTGGCCAAACCCCACTTGAAGCCAGAGAGCAAGAGTGATTGTTCATACGGCATGGCTGGGTGGGCACAGCAGAGAGGAGGAAGATAGGTGGGGACAGAGACGCCCAGCACAGGTGTCACATGAGCAGTAGCACCACCAGATCATTGTGGAGAAAGATCATACTGGTCATGACGTGGACCCGAGTGGGACAGAGGAGGACGTGGGGCATTCCAAGTGATTTAAAAAGCACTTTAAAAAAATGCATTGCCCTGGTTAGGGGTCTGTTAACCCAAAGGGATATCTGAGATTGTTCTCCCGGCTATGTCTGGTAGGGTAGAATTCATCTCAAAGTTGCCGTTATGTATCACACCAAATGTCTCCCTTGCAAAGGTGCAGTGCCAATGGAAGGCTCAGGCAGGCTTGGTTGCAAACAACAGAAACCACTTGTATTGCGTTTAAGCAGAAATGGGATTTATCACGGGCTACTGGGGGGCCCTAGCATCTCTTGAATGACCTTGGAACTGGGCTCTGGAGTACGACCCAAATGTGCCACCCACTGCAGAGCAGCTCCAGGAAACCACACTGCTGCCTGCCCTGAGCAGGGCAGCCACAAAGGGGCTTCCAATACCCCGGACGCTCTGCCGCCTCCCCACCAGGGTGGATCCCTGGGATCTTGCTTCGTCCTAGAGCCCCTGACTGAATCTGAGTCTGCTGGTGCATCTATCTGGTGAGTTTGGTCACATGTCTGCACCCTGCTTTCTGAGAAATAGAGTTTCTGGCTCCTCTAGACAGGGACTCGGGAAGCAGGAGCTTCCCCAAAGAAAAGAAGGGGTTCAAAGCGCTGAACAAGCAGAAAGAAGGACAAATGTTCATTACAGGTAAATGAAGGTGAATTACTATAAAGTTCAGGCCGTCGGGCACCCCAAGGAGAGATGGCATGTGGGCGTCATGCATGTGCATGTGTGTGGCATATCATGCATGTGTTGTCATGCAAGCCCCATATGTCACACATGTGTCATATGTGTCATGCGTGTGAATGTTATGCGTTCATGTGTGGTCGTCATGTGTGTTGTGTGTGGGTACTGTGTGTATCATACATGTGAGTGGTTCTGTCCTTAGAAAAACATGGGCAGAACTTGCAGTGTGCAGCCTCTGTCCGGACCCACCCACTGAGGGGCCCTGGCACCCCAAAGTGTACCCCAGATATATTTGGTCCATGGAGCTTTGTGACTGAGTTTTCGGGTTAGCCTCTGTGCAACCTGACTTCCCATGGGCAGGGTGGAGTGCTAGGAGCATTGATTCAATTCTTCCCTTGAGCACCCTTCACCCGCCTCTCTCCAGAAATGTGCTGAGGGATTTTCTGTATTCTGGGAGGAACATGAACATGATTCCGCCTCAGCTGCAAGCTTTCTGAGACCCATCCTGGGAACCAGCAAGCACAACTCTCCACCTTCTGCATCAGTCACTTCCGAGGGGGCCAGTTGGCACAGTTCATGCTGCTGAGTGAGATGTTGCTCAGAGGCCAAGGGCAGGGCTGCATTTTCTGATTCTTTTGTATTCGTAGCAAGATACCCTTAGTGGAAGAGCCCAATACCTGGGTTTGCCTGGAAGTCTTCTTAGCTAGACCATCCAATTTGTGAGCTTTCCATCTGGCTGCAGTGTTGTTTAATTTTTGCCTCTCCATAACAAGAATCGCCTTTCTTCCAGTCTCCAATACACTGTTCTCACTTTCCTATAAGCCCTCACCAACATCCTCCTCCAGCTACTGGGGTCTCCAATGCCGTTTAGGCTTTTTCTGACACTTTCTTCAAAGTCCTTTCGTCTTCTGCCCTCTACTCAGTTCCAAGGACACTCCCACATTAATAGCTTTATAGTCCATCAGCACCCTACTTCTGGTACCAAACTTTACATCAGCTATCTACTGTTACATAACAGCAAAAACATAGTGATTTAAAATAGATATAAACATTTATTATCTTTCACAGTCTCTGTGAGTCAGGAATTCAGGAACAGCTTAGCCAGGTGCTCTGGCTCCAGGTCTCCCATGAGGTTGCAGTCTAGATATAAGTGGGGAAAGTGGTCATCTGAAGGCTGGATTGAGGTGGGAGGATCCACTTTCAAGGTGGCTGACTCAGATGGTTGGCAAGTTGGTGCTGGCTGTGGTGAAGGCCTGTCTTCTCTCCATGTGGGCCTCTCCATAAGGCTACTTGAGCAGCCTCACAACATGGTAGCTGGCTTCCCCAAGGCAAGTGATCCAAGAGCGAGGGTTGAAGTCACAATGCCCTTATGACTTAGCCTTAGATGTGACACACCATCACTTCTGCAGTATTCTGCTGGTAACACTGACTAGCTCTGATTCAGTTTGAGAAAAGAGCACAGAAAAGCATGAATATCAGGAGGTGAGGTTCATTGAGGGCCTGTGAACCCTCTGGTAGCTGTCTACCACCAATAGTTAAAAGAAAAAACTAGGTACAAATATATGAATATATGTATATGTAAAAATAAGACAGTAAAAACTGTCTCATAATAGCCCCACTCAGAGAAAAGTCATTATGAACATTTTGGGGCATATCTTATCAGCTGAACTGTAAACATTTTTACAAAAATGGAGCAATACTGGACAAAATCTTTCATGCTATCAATGTTTTCATTTAATAGTATAGTCAAAAACATACTTTTATCACATCTTTTCTAATGGTAACATTATATTCTTGCCAATGATTAAGATGTAATTGGTTTTCCAATGCCCTATTGCTGGACATTTAAGGGTTCTCAAATTGTTGCATCATTAGCAAAGCTGGAATGAACATCTTTAGAGTTAACTTGCTGTCTGTATCCCTGATCCAGCAGCAGCAAGTGTACGTGATTTAAAGCACATTCGCTATCTATCATCAAGCAGGCCTTCAGAGAGGTTGTCTCTGTTGTACATCCCACTACTGTGACTGAGAAAGCCTCTTGTCGCATTTGACAATCCTGGTTATTATCATTAAAATGTGTGTTTGTAAGAGCAACACACCGTGAGATAATATTTGCAGCAAATGTAACTGACAGAAGAGTAACATCTCATAATATTAGAGCACCTACAAATCAAGAAGACAAACATCCCATGGGGAAAGTGCAGTAAAAACATGAACATAAAGTTTGCAGAAGAAAAAGCACAAATGGCTCATAAACATACAAAAAGATGATTCTGTTTCCTGGTAATTGGGAAAATGCAAACAAAAACTACAATGAAATATCGCCGTATTGTGCATCAGATTTGCAGAGTATAAAGTAGATTACATTCACAATCAGCAGGTACAACCCAACCTTCAGCCTCACTGGGCTTCTTGCCATTCCAATGGATATGGTTTGGGGAAACCATATCCATGCACCTCTCCACAGGCTGTTCCTTCTGCCTGCATGCCCTCGATGGCACCAAGGGGGGGATGGGCACACTAACACAACTGCCGGGAATGGGAATGTTTCAGCCTATTGGGAATAAAATGTAACAGTGTTTGTTGTAACAGCTGGGCCACTACCCTGCAAGAACCCCTCCGGCTGCTGCACAAAGCTCCCCTCTGCATCCTCTTTTATACTAGTGGAATCCTGGACACAGCCTGCATATGGATCAAACAGGGAGTGGTTATAAATATACTATGGTCCATATCTAGGCTAGATTGTGATGCAGTGGTTAAAGCCAAGCATTGCAGAAGAATGATTAAGCATTCGTGCTCCAAAGCCAAATGGTCTATGTTTAAATCCCAGCTTCACTACTTACTTGCTGTGTGATCTTGTGAAACTCACGTAGCCTTCTGTGCCCACTGTTTCTCCATCTGTATAATGGAGGATAACACTAGCCCCTACCTCACAGGGTCATTGTGAAGATTAAATGAAATTAATACTACGTATAGCACAGAGTGATCCTCCTCAAAATGTGAAAATGATGAAAAAAAGAATTTTCTAGAAATTATCTATCCACATACACATTCTGATGGCATTTGTGTAAAGAATTTAACCAATAAAAACAAATTACAGACACATACACACATACACTTTATGTACATAGAAGTAGATCGAGGAAGATCCATGACACACATGCAAGGCAGGTGGGATGGGGACATCAAAAGGGGGACTTTCACGTTTAATTCTGAATGGTTTGACTATTTCATTTATGCAACTTTTAACGATCAAAGCAATAAATCACTGTAAAAGAAACACCTGTCAGGTTTTGAGTCTTAACCATTCTACCCTGGGCTCACCCTTCGCTGACACTGAATCTCAGGTGTCTTCAACATCATTTAGTTTAGAAGAGGAAGAAATGTCCCTCGACCCTAGTAGTGCTCCTTTGGGGAGTGAGCCCTCGTTTCGTCCCTACGCATGCATGAGTTGGGGTCTTTTCCTCGCTGGCTCCTCTATCGCCCTCTGGTGGTGATAACTCGCAGTACTGCGTGCCCGCAGCCCGGTCTGGAGAAGGCGGAAAGCTTTGCTAATTCTCCCAGGGGCTCAGCACCAGGAGCCCTAGGCTTTGACTCTGGATCTGGAGCTAGCGGTGGTGCCAGATTTCTGTCCCTTGCCGAGGAAGAAAATATTTTACTTAAGTTGTCCCTATCTAGGGTTGTCAGATTTAGCAACTAAAAACGCAGGACATCTGGTTAAATTTGAATTTTAGAGAAATCACAAATAACTTTTAGTATGAGTATACGGCGTGGTAGATACGAATGTACACAGCTCATACTTATATTAAACAAAATTATTTGTGGTTTCTCTCAGGTTTAAATTCCACTGGGTGCCTGTTGGGAAGGGGATAGGGGAGGTGGTGAGAAAGGAAGGGAGAAGACCTGGGGACAGTGGGTGATGGAAGGACACGAGAGCTCAGGTGAGTCTGGTTGCAGGAGACTGCAGCTGGCCTTTGCTCTCTAGGCAGCTGGAGCTGTCAGGCTGTAGAACAGTGCTGCCTGGCCCTGGGAACTTTGAAAACCTGATGTGTGGGTCTGATTCCCACAGATTCTGATGTCATTGGGTTGGTGGCATTGGGGTGAGGGTAGGCTCTGGCATTTTTTAAAAGTCCCCAGGCAATTCAAATGTGCAGCCAAGGTTGAGGACTACTACCCTAGGGGACCTGGGGGGTGTGCCTGTGTGTGCGGGCATGTGTGTGTGTGCACATGTGTGTGTGGGCGTGTGTGTGCACATGTGCGTGTGTGTGCATCCATCCACTCATGTGTAACCCAGATACCTTCAGTTTGCATATTCCCAAGTTTGCCAGTCTGGGGTCCTTCCCGAGAGACGCCCAGTCCGCATGTTATGGAAAAGCCTTGGGCCCTTTCCAAGATGTTTCTAGATTCCCGCAGGGCTTGTATTTTACTGGTCATCCCTGGCTCTGATTTCCTGTTCACACTGAGCACTCCATCTCATTCCTTTCTTCCCCCTGGGACTATCTTTTTCTTTCTGCCTGTCAACTTAATGCTGGTCTTTCAATGACCATCAGCAGCACACAGCTGTCAAGTTTAGCAGATGTTTCCTGCAGGTCTGCAGTTAACAAGAGGTGTTATCTCCAAAGTAAATGATTCTACACTGAAGTCCTCAGCTGGGCAGGGAATTCCTGCTAGGCAGAATTTATCACTGGCTCATTTCCTCCTCCAATTCCCTCTGCCTCCTTTTTACTTCTGGAACCTCTCACTCTCTTTCAGAAATCACTTTGTCCCCTCCCCAATAAAACAAAGAAACAAAAACAGAAACAAACCCTTCTTCCTCTAGCAGTCAGCATGCAGCTGCTGATCAAGTTCCAGATTGCAGTTTCTTTCTTAATTGGAAGAATTCAACTCTTTTTTTCCTATACCTTGCCTATGTATCCAGGTATTTCCAAGAGTAATGCATGCTCCCTGGGAAGCACTGGGAATTCTGCACTTCTGGGCAAGCCAGCTCCAACTGCAGCCCACGTCTAAAAAATAGCATCTCTCTCTTCATTCTATGTGTCCAAATCTTCAGGGATTTAGCAAATTCTCCTAAATAGCTAGAATAACTTGCTGACTTTGATGCAAATACTCTGGCCAGAGAACTGAGGTCTTTGGATGAAACTCAATAGTCAGAAGGGGTCACAGTTTCCTCAGCCTGGGTGTCTCCGCAGATGTTCCTAAAGGCTTGGCTTTTTCCACATCTGTTCTGTGTGGTAAAGAAGGAGAAGAAGGGAACAGAGAGGAAGCAGAGAGAGCTGAAGATTAAAACAATACTGTACAGGTCCCCCCTAAAGATGGACTCTCTGGTCACTGGGAAAGGACTGAGAGAGAAATGCAAAGAGCAAAATCTCATGAGCATAAGGACCTGGGAGCTGGAGGCTGGTCCACCCTTCCTCGGCTTCCAGGAACCCAGAGGGAGGCAGGCACAGCCAGCTTTGGCCCTGTGGAATGAACACCTTCCGGCCAGGCTGCCAGGAGGCCAAATTTCAAATGTCTAACTATGTTTTGCACAAGGTGACCTGCAGCTCCGATGGCCCCTAGGATTCCGTAGGGTACTGTGCAGTCCAGAAAACTTGACTTTCCAATCCTTCCCACTTAGCCAGCTGTCATTTTCCCTCCCTCCTAACTTCCTTCCTTCCTATCCTTTTCCTCTGTATTTTCCCTCTTTGTTTAAAGATGCAACATGAAACTTACTCTGTACACTCATCAGATTTGCAAAAATTAGAAAGTCAGGTAATGCCAAGTGTTGGCTGGAGTGTGGGGGAAAGATGAACCCTCATTCTCTGCAAAGGAGTGTGAGAAGGTGCAGCCACTCCGGAGAGCCGTCTGACGGTACTGGTTCGAGTTGACTGTGTAAATCTTCTGCCCATGACGCAGCAATCCAATGCCACTCCTTGGTATGCAGCTCAGAGACACTCTCTGTCCAAAACGTGGGGAGGTGCTCATTCAGCATTGCTTCTGGCGGAGGCATTGGCTACTCAGCAGCCCATCCCTGTTGGAAGATAGAAGTAAATGTGGTGGGTGCACACCTTGGAGAAGCATCTATCAGTCAGAAGCAAGGAAGATGTCCACATAGATTTACATAACTTACATTAGAGACTATGTTTAAATTCAAGGATGCACATAAGATACACAGAAAGACTGCCTGTGGGGGAAGGGACTGCAAGTGAAGAATGGGGATTGTGGTAGATTGAAGATGGTCCCCAATTCTTTGACACTCCCTACATGGAGAGGTGAGGTGGGGTGCTCTGGGCAGGCTTGTGATTGCTTGACTAATAGAATACTTCAGAAGTGGTGCTTGTCAGTTTCTGGGCCTGGGTCTTAAGAGGGTGTCAGCCCACCTCGCCTCTCTTATAACACTCTCTCTCAGAGCTTGGAGCTGCCATGTAATGAATCAACTGCCCCAATAAGTCTAGGTTGGAGAAGCCATGTTCAGGTACTCTGGCTGGTGGTCCCAACTGAGCCCAGCCTTGCAGGCAGCCCCCACCAGCCAATGCCACCAGACATGTAAATGAAGCATCTGGGCTCTCTAGGCCAGCCCAGCACACCTACAAGCTGATTATCATGGAGTGACTTCAGTTGGAGCCACATTCATCAAGAGAATCAAACAGCTAAGTCCTGCACATCCCAAATCTACACAATTGTAATGTGATAAAGTATCTAACTTTGGGGATATATATTGGTCTGTTTTCATGTTGCTGATAAAAACATACCTAGACTGGCAAGAAAAAAAGTTTAATAGACTTATAGCTCCAAATGGCTGGGGAGGTCTCACAATCATGGCGGGAGGTGAGGAGGAGCAAGTCACATCTTACATGGATGGCAGCAAAGACAGCGAGCTTGTGCAGGGGAACTCCTCTTTATAAAACCATCAGATCTCATGAAACTTATTCACTATCATGAGAACAGCACAAGACCCACTCCTGTGATTCAATCACCTCCCACTGGGTCCCTCCTATGACATGTGAGAATTGTGGGAGTTGCAATTCAAGATGAGATTTGGGTGGGGACACATCCAAACCATATCATTCCACTCCTGGTCCCTCCTAAATCTCATGTCTTCACATTTCAAAGCCAATCATGCCTTCCCAAAGTCTTAATTCATTTCAGAATTAACTCAAAAGTCCACAGTCCAAAGTCCCATCTGAGAAAAGGCAAGTCTCTGCCACCTGAGCCTGTGAAATCAGAAGCAAATTTGTTACTTCCTAGATACAAGTTGGAAAAATACGGAGAAATTAGAACCCACATACACTGCTGGTGGGAGTATAAAATGGTACAGCACTTTGGAAAGCAGTTCATCAAATGGTTAAAGATAGACTTACCATTTGTTTCAGAAATTCCTCTTTTAGCTATACACTCAGGAGAAATGAGAGCCTATATCCCCACAAAAACTTGATGAATGTTCTTAGAAGCATTATTCATAATAGATAAAAAGTGGAAACAACCCGTGTCCATCGACTGATGAATGAATAAATAAAATGTGGTCTGTACATACAATGGACTATCACTCATCAGTAAAAAGAAGTACAACATGGATGAACATTACACGAGTGACAAAGGATCACATATTGTATGATTCCATTTAAATGTAGTAGGCAAACTAGAAAAATGTGAAATAGCTAGAATAGGCAAATCAATGGAAATAGAAAGCAGATTTGTGGTTCTACCTCCCACAAATGAGGGAAGGACAATAAATAATCCTGGGACAGGATTTCTTTCTGGACTAATGAAAATGTTCCAAAATTAATTTTGGTGCTGGTTGCACAACTATGTGAATATACTAAAAGCCATTGAATTACAGACTTTAGTTGGGTGGTATATATGTTATGTTAAGTTATTAATGTTTGTCATAGATTCCATTTAGTAGAATAGAATAGATTATAACTTCAGTTCCAAGCTTCACAGCAGTCCAAGCAAGGAAGGAAAAACCCTGTATCCAGTGTTGTCCTCAGCACCATCCCCACAATAAACAAAATTGTGGTTCTCTTATGACATCTCATGGCATCTTTCGGTACTCAGGGAAAAATACATGATCCAGAAAAAAGTAATTTCTATAGGAACCCAAACATATTTTTGATTGTCTTGTTGTTTATGTTATTAACTTTGATCTTTCTAGGAGTAAAGTTTTACCCAGAGAGAACCAGAATGACCTGGGCAGCAAGAACTGTAGTTCTGTGTTTGGTTACTTTCCTTTCAGTGTTAAGTGGAAATGTGCACATAACCCAAGGCAGAAAGGCACATGTGCCTCAACTGTGTCTAATTGATAATAATATGATTACATAATAAACAATAATAACTATGAACTAATTAGGTGAAGATTTTCTTAACTGCTGGTAGCAGGATTCCTCTCAGGAAGGTGACTATCTTTGCACAAATACGTTGGTGAGCTGCTTGGGGTGTAAGGTAAGAAGCAGAAGACATGGGTGTGGACACGAACCCAGGCAACAAAAACACAGTTAAGCTCTTCTGTACAAGAACATGAGGAGCCCTTGATTTTTCCCCACTAAAAGGAAAAGCGACAGCAGAGCCCAGAGTGGGGGTGATGTTGGGGCTATTGCAGAGCAGAAGGACCAGTGGAAACTTCTTTGATGCTGGGTAGCAGATGACCATGTCAGGATAGAAACATCTAGTGTTGAATGGGAAGGTGCTGAGTTGCTGAGATGAAAAGCACTCTTCCATCCCCCTCCATGCCCTCAAATTTCAAAAATATCTCTTTATTCTAATAGATGAGAGGTGTGTGCTGGATTTCATGCAAATCAAGGAAGGTGATGAGTTTTCCAGAGACTGCATACACAGAAGCTGGAATGCAGAGGTAGTAATGCGTTGGGGAAAATAAATCCCTCGCTTCCCTGGGAAGCTGCATACCTCTGAGAGGGGCTCGGGATTGGGTGCAAAGCAATTCTATCTAGGGCCTGAGGGGGGACTCCTGTATCACCTGTCTTTCAAAACAATTCACAGGATGTAGCAGTGCACAAGTCATTAACATTCTTTTATTATTATTCATTTAAATACCACTCATAGCTTCCAATAGGAACCAGTGGAGGGCCTCAACTCTCTGTGAAATTAGCGAAGTTGCTATGCAGTAAGCATTCCAATAGAATGTTGCCCCAAACTCCTGAAGCTCCCTTACAAATTCCTGAGGAGGACTGAGGGATGCTGGAGTGTTCATCTTTGGATTAATTACTGGCTTGATAGACTAAACCTTTCTAAATACCCCTAAAGTGGGAGAGCAAAATGAGCTTATCATCAAGATGCCAAGGCCGGTAAGAAGGGACTGCAAGGAAGCTAGGCAACGATGAAATCAAATCATCGATTTAAAAAAGAAAAAAAAAACGATTAATTTGCAAAGTTCCAATTTACCAAAAAATTGCAAAGACAATACAGATTCGTTCCCACGTGTCCCACTATTAAATCTTGTATTATTATTGTGTATGTGTCACAATTAATGAACCAATATTGGTACCTGTTAGGAACTAATGTTAATTCAGACTTCCTTAGTTTTTAACTTCATGGTTTTCTTTTTTCTGTTCCAGGATCCCATCCAGATTCCACACCACATTTCATCATTACGTCTCCTTGGGGTTCTCTCGGTTGTGACAGTTTCTTGGACTTTCCTTGTTTTGATGACCTTGACGGTACTGGAGTATTTGTCAGATATTTTGTAGAATGTTCCTAGAATATGTCAGCTATTTTTCTTATCATTAGACTGGGGTAATAGGTTTGGGGGTAGAGAATCACAGAGGTTAAGTTTCATTCGTATCACATTCTATCAAGGGTACACACATCAGCACAACCTAGCACTGTTGATGTTGACATTGATCACCTGGCTGAAGTAGTGCCTGGCAGGTTTCTCCGTTGTAAAGTGACTCTTGGCGTCCCTTTCTATACCTACTGTTTGGAAGGAAGTCACTATACGCAGCCAATATTGAAGGAGTGGGAGCCATGCTCCTCCTCATTGAATATGGCTATATTAAGTAGCTCCATCATTATCTGGAATTCTTCTGCATGGGAAATTTGAACCATTCATTTAAAATCTGTTATAAACCAAAGCAGGGGGCAGCAGGGGTGACATGGGGAAGAAATGTCTTCAAGCTTGGAATCGCTCTTCTACCCTTTAGTGGAAGGAAGGGATGGTGCATATCTAGAAGAAAAAGAGGAAAGAGGAAAGAGCTCGCAAGCCAGGGTCCATGCAGGTGGTGGTTGTGCCTTCCCTCCTGCTTGCTCGCGGGTACAGTGGAAGCTGGGCAGTGCCATTGACATCACTACCCTGGGCTGTCTCAACTGCACCTCAGATCCCATTAACATGCCCCAGAATCTTGAAATAATGTATTTGTGAGCCTCCTAAACAACAGTGGAAAAGTTTTCCTTCTTTTGTTCTGAGCAGACTATTTTTTAAAAGAGTCAAACGGTTACAAGACCACAGCAAAATCTTCTGTCTCAAGAGTGTCTCTCCTCCTCCTCCCTCTCTTTGAATGAGTGGCCAACGCTAAGCTGTGTGCCCAGACCTCCTGAAGGGAAGTCCTGAGAACATGTTCCCCAGTGAATGCCCCAGTATCACCTGGTCAGGAGAAATAGGGCCCTTGGGACTTGTGAACAGGTCCCAGCTCTGGGGCAAAACCACCAAGAATTTTTCCACTCCGAGATGGAAGAAAGAACTCTTCTAGTTTGGGATATTTAATGAAAGGCAAAAGCAATTTTGGAAAAACAGGATCTGGCAATGAAATACAAAGGTTATTTTTACTGCAGAGAGCAAGCCATCTAATAAAATGCTGCAATTGCCAAAGTTTGTTCGGCCCCTGGGGAACTTTACGGGCACTTAAGTGTCCGTCCTTTTGACTGTGGAGTCCATTTGTGGTGAATGTTTCACGAGTTCAGGAATACCATGTCCAAGGTCGAGCAGTCCCTGCCAACTGAGCTGGTGTTCCCTGAGGATTGAAGTTTGTTTCCAGAAGGGACGACTGAGGTTTCATTTGTTACAGTCACACCGCCATCCTTCCTCAGAGTCGTCCTGGCCCCCGAGCTGCTGCCCACACACCGGCACACAGGCCACAGGGGACCTTGCCTTCTGGGTCATCCCGTCCTTGAACTCTCTGCAGATGCACCGAGAGGCAAGTTTCTTACTGAGATCACATGCCCTGTGCACGCATCCTTTCAAACTGGACAGAAAGTATTCTCTGATGGTTGTCTGTAGGCAGATTTAGAGCTGAGATCCCTGCATTCCTGAATTCTGAATTGAGACGTGTCTAGATAAGTGGGCCTGAGAACCACGGCTCTCCTAGGAGACATGTGAAATCAGCATGCAGTTGGCGTCTCTTAACTCATGCTCACTTCAGGCCTCTCGTCTTTACAGAGAGACGAGCAGAGCACACCATGGCAGCTGTGGCTTTGCAGTCAGAAAAGGCTGGATTAGAATTCCAGATCTATCACTGTAACCTCTCTGCCCGTCAGTTTCTCTAACTGCAGGCAGAGATGACATGAAGTGGTATACGCAGAATGCCTGAAAAATAGCAGATTGCAAAAAACAAATAGTAAATTGGGAAGAATAGATTTCCTCTTTTGACACAGACCTGCTCTTGATTCTTAAAAAGCTAAACTGTTCTCCATTTCTACTACTTTTTTAAAAGCACACATTTTAACAGAGTATTGAGATGGTTTGAAAAATCCCAACTTTCCCACAAATCCAAACGTGGTGATTTACTACATGTAGATCTTAAAATTGTTCACTTTTTAGAAAGTATTTGAAGCATTTTCGTTTGTGAGAGAACCCTAAAGTCTTGCCTTCTAGTTTGCGGATATTTAGGTGTGCATATGCTTTTATGTGCTGTAGATACATTAAGGTCAGCCAATCTGAACAGCTGAAAAATTTTTATCACCAAGGAGCTTAACAGCTCTGCAGATACATTCATTACCTGTGCAACTGGTCTGACCTATACCAATAGCAGGGGGTATGAAATCTAGTTATAGCTCTGTTTTAGTCTAATTAATCACTAAGTCCTCTCTACCCTTCAAACACTGTTATAATAAAGTTTAACATCTTACTTTTGAATTTTCCAAAACCCCCCTGGGGCCTTACCTAGTCTTATTTCTGAGATACCAGATGTAGAGAAAAACTGCAGTCAGCATTTCATTGCTCCTGCTTCTCTTCACCACAAGGTGGCACTGTTGAACACCAGTCCTGCACAGCTCCATGGACATTCAGACTGCTTTGTGGAGATCTTCCCTCTTTTGTATCTGTTGTTTCTGCAGTGGTATCCCACATTTGGGGTCCGAAGTTGGCTCCTTTGGTTCATGTTAGGACATTATGCCCCAAAATGAGACCCTGAGCAGCTTCCAGCTTCAGCTATGATGGTTCTAGGGCCACCACCTCCACCAGCATTTATGTTTTGAGCCCAAATCAGTGACCACCCACCTAGACAGGTGCTTTAGAGGCAAGTGTTATGGGCAGAATGTTTGTGTTTCTTCATATGTTAAACTCTAATCCCTGTATTTGTACATGGGGACTTTCTGGATGTAATTAAGGTTAAATGAGGTCATAAGGGTAGGATCCTGATGCTGTAGGATTGCTGTTCTAATAAGAGATGCCAGATAACTTGTGGGTGTGTTCTCTCTCCCTCATGGGCAGACACAGTGAGGAGTCAGCCATCTGTAAGCCAAGAAGAAAGCCCTCACCAGAACCCAGCCATGGTGCCCTGCCCTTGGGCTTCTCAGTTGCTACAGAACTGAGAGAAGGTAAATGTCTGTTGTTGAAGCCACCCAGTCCATGATATTTTGTTGTAGCAGCCCAGGCAGACTAAGACAGTGAGTTTCTCTGTGCCATGCTTTGTGTCCATCTCTCCCAACATACTTTGATAGAGTCACCCTGGTCCTACCTGACAGATCCATCTGGATAGAGAAATACGGGGTATTGAGTACCCAGTTAGGGTGGAGGAAATGGGATCCCCGTGGACACATCCATTGGCCCTTGCTGCCTGGAAAGAGGCATGTCCAGAGGAGGACAGAATCAGGCTTTCTAATGTGAGTGGCCTGGGGCAGGGATCCTTTTTGTCCAGGTTTAAAGTCAGGCTTCTTGAATTCAAATCACAGCTCTGCCACCCACTTGCTGTGAAGCCTTGGGTGGGATATTTCCCTCTTTGTGTCTCACTTTCCTCACCTGGAAAATGGGGATAATGATAGGCCTAGCCTTGTAGGACGGTGGTGAGGATTAAATGCATTAATTCACAGAGGGCACAAAGAATAATGTCTAGCATGTGGCAGCAACTTATTTTGTAAAATAAAACTCAGCCTCTCCTGAATGCCCTCAAAACCATCTACTCACACATACGCAGTGGTGATCAGTGTGGACTTGACTCAGGTTTTAGGAAGTGGGCCAGAGGTCTGGGATTGCACTGCATGCCCCACAACATGAAGCCTAAAGGTCTCCTTTCTGAAAATTCTGTCCCCATTCTGTCTCTTTGGTCATCTCCTAGCAGGCTGTCCCTCTGGTCCTTCCCCTCAGGGCCTCTAGGGTGTGCTTATTTCCCTGGCCACCGTTTTCTGGACAGTCCACACTCTCTTTCCCTTCTCCACAGGAAAGGACACCTCCCTTTTGCTCATCTCCTTATTTCCAAGTCCCTGTGCCATTTTGTCACTTCTGTTTTTATGTGCACATGTTCTTAGGTTCTCACCTTCCAGTCCAATGATTCTAAAAAAGTAACTTTTTCAAATATTAAAAAATATATATCTTCTCCCTCGGAAGATCCTCGTTAAGAACATCTTCTCCATCCTTTTATGGTGGAACTGGAAGCAGGGTCACAATGTGCCTGTGAGGTGTTGCCATGCTATTTCATTTCTGCATCTGATCTGGAGTTCCCTGGAGGCTGGGGTGGAACTTAGTGACATCAGGGCTTGGCTCCCAGAGGTACAGATGATGTGCCTGTGTAGGATCAATGAGTGGGCTGCCTTTGGTCTCTTCTGACTCCCATGGGAAGGTCTGCAGGTCCTTGCCCTGTTCTTTTAGTGGGACAGCTATCTGGGCCGCCCCACACCCCAACCATGCTCTGCTTCCTCCTGGAAATGGCAATTTTCTAGCACCTACTAGTCACTTCCATTTTTGTCTTCACCCTGGGACTTCTGAGAAACTCTGCTCTATGTTTTCTTCCTAGCAACACAGAACATTAATAGCTTTGGCATTTAAAATTGTTCCTTTCATGTTGTTTCACCTTAAAGAGAAAGATAGCAAAGCTTTGACTCACAGGCCAAGACTAACTGGGGACACCCCACAACCCCAAACATTCATGATGGAGTCCTGATGTCAATCTCCTGTGTAAAATAAAATATAAATGAAGAGTTTGTGCAGATGCATCTAAATCCAGAAGCAACCAAGAGATGACGCTCATATCAGCTTGTTCAGCCACTAGCTTAGATAAATGCCTAATTTTAAAGGCACTGTCATGACTTGTTACAAAAACAAATTGAGACAGCCATAGATTTGAGTTATAAATTCTTAAATATATGAGAGATTTTAATTTAACAAACACTTATTGACACTTATTTTGTGCCAAAAAATGTTTTAAGATGTTACGAATACTGACTACTCATTGGATGTTCCTATCAACATTCTGAGGCGGGCAGTACTATAACCCCATATCACAGATGAGAAAACTGGGTGACAGAAG